CCATTTCTTTGTTATGCACTTGAATCAAATGTCTAGAAATTCTACTATATGGTTTCTCGCAATAATAACAAATATTTTTTTTCCCACTACGCCCCTTTGTTGTTTTTCTTGTCATTTGAAGTACAATATTGTTGTTAGCACCAATATTGGGAATGACAACTTCATTTTCATCCTCGTCATCATCATCATCTTCACTTGTCCCAGGTATCCAGTCTTCTGCACTGTCCTGTTTGTTCTTTCCATGCAATCCAGCACAAATAACATCTTGAACTTCAGTATCTGTTATCTCATTATCTTTGTTGTTCTTTCCATCATCATCATCATCATCATCCTCATCATCCTCATCATCACTTTTTCCAGGAATCCAGTCTGGATCTTCTACATTTTCCTCGCTGTCATCATTAGCATCGACATCAACCTCTTTATAACACTGTATTTCATCACCATCCTCTCCAGTATCACCATCATCTTTCCCCGGAATCCAGTCAATGTCTTCTTCAATTTTCGGTGTGTCTTCATTAGCCTCTTCACCATAATAATTTGCAGCTATAAAATTCAACACATACATTTAGAATTAAAATTTTATTTTCCTGCTTTAATATCTCAAGAGATTAACTGTCTCAACATTTAAACTGCATCATCATAATTTCAGAAGTCAATTTACACTTATCTTACTGTTAGACAGATAATGAAAATACTGTAGCTTTTTTTAAATCTATTTTAATATTTAGAACTTATGATTACTAAATCAACATTTTTAATGTTGTTTTGTACATTTTAATAGTCATTCTCATCTGGATAATTCATACTCATAATACTGTACACAAGTATGTATGTAGATAGGTAGATGTAATTCCCTGGTACCCGTATATCACAAGAAATCCAAAATAAAAAGATAAATTTGTGTTTCTCTGACAATTCAACTTGACATTTTTTTAAAAAAATTAAATGGTTTTATCAAAAATGACATTATGCTAGCTACACATACATACAAATACAGGCTAAAATAACATATTTTCACTAAGCAATGATATGAATATGCTGTGTTCAACATCATAGCTTTTGCTACTTAAATGCCATTGAGGTGAACTTATATAAAACATACCTAAATAGTCTGATGGTGAATTAAGCTTCTGCTCAGCTATACAATCCATCAGCCATGACAATGTTGCCGTTGAAATACCATAGATTTGTTTAATACCTGAATTTAAAAGTAATGTTTATGAACTATAGACACAGATCTGTAATAGAATGATTGAAAAGGAAAATCCTAGCTGTAATAAATCTAACTAAACATTTCACAATGTGTACTACTTACAGCAGAAGTACTTATTATCTTTCTCAGAAACATCTGCCATTGTTTCCCCCAATGTTAATGTGATTGCATTTGTCAAATTTGGGCTTAATGAACCTAATAATTGTCCTCCACTACAGATTATAAGATCCTCAACTTCCTCTGTAAAAGAAAAATAGATGCATAAATGTTGTGAAGTAAATTTGTACATCTTAAGGTGCCTCTATCAGTCCAGTCCAATACGAAAATTCGTAATATTACAAGTTTTCGTAATATAAAACTTATATTACGATTTTTCGTAATGTAGTTAAATTACAATACGCGTAATATAGCAGATTGTAAGAAACTATATTACGAGTTTCGTAATCCAAGACAAATTCAAGCATTGCAAGAAATTGAGTGGTGGGTAGCAAAGTATGTAGTGGGAAACAGGTTTACTAACCCCTGGATATCTTTGATCCTTCATTAAATCCATGTAAATATATTGACATTGTCTGCAAAACTCCTGCTGCTGCCTCTGATGAAGTTGATTTTCTTGCTCCTACTGCTTCCTCTCCAGAAACTGTATCTCCTCTAATTACATATTTCTCCTAAAATTAATAAAAAAAATTCCTAAATCAAAATTACCAACTTAGTGGAATATAGGATATCTATAATCAGAAAATAAGTGATTATCTTTTATTATACCTCAGGTAGTAAAACACCTAAAATATAAAATGACAAACTCACATTAGCAATGACATAACATGTACTTGGAATGCTACAAATATTGGATTGCAAAGCTTGCAGTGAATACAATAAATAATTTGAATAGGGTCATAAAACCCAATAAATTTGATCAATTGGAATTTCAAGAAAGTATGCAAATGTATATAATATATCCTTGTCTACTGCAAAATTTCAAGAAATGTTATTACATGACTTCGTGATTTCAGAGAAATTTACCTTCTCTGTTAGAGTGGACTTGCCAGACACTGTGATATGAGGGATGTTTCCTTGAAGACTAATTCCATTGTCCTCTTCCTCTATGCAGGAACAGTGACCTTAAATTAAATATATTTTGTAACAGGAAAGGAAAAAATGTATGGAAATACCCGGAATTGACCCGGAATCGAACCCAGGACCCCTGCATCACTAGTCAGGTTCTCTACAGATTGAGCTATCCAGGCTGATATTACAGTTTTATATACTCAAGATTGAATTCTTATAACTTAAGAATAAAAAAGTATACAATATATATTATAAAGAAAGAGATTAATACCAAAAGCTTATTTGTGAAGATTAATACAAATATTAATTGTGTTCATCTGAAAATCAAAAGCTCATACTCTAGAGTTCCCTATACATACCTCCCCCCTTTTTCTCTGAAACACCAGGGGAACACCTTTCATCAACACGATCACTGTCTACCATTGCAGGACCACAGTCTTCCTTTGTATCATCCTCTTGAAGACCACAGTCTTCCATGATAACATCCTCTTGACCTTTATTGTCAAAGGGAAAAAAAAGAAAAAACTAAATGCATTGATAGGTTAACATATGCACATGTATCATATTCAATTAATTTATCTTTTTAAAAAAGCTTTAATACTGAGAGAGGAAGGACTGTCCAAAACAAGATTTTTAAATATTAATTTATCTACATACCTCTCCCCTTTTTCTCTGAAACACCAGGGGAACACCTTTCATCAGCACGATCACTGTCTACCATTGCAGGACCACATTCTTCCTTTGTATCATCCTCTTGAAGACCACAGTCTTCCATGATAACATCCTCTTGACCTTTATTGTCAAGGAAAAAAGAAAACTAAATGCCTGGACTGGTTAACATATGTACATGTATCATATTCAATTAATTTATCTTATTAAAAAAATACATCATTTTTTCTGAAATAACTACCAGTTAAGCTTTTTAAAATGCTCAGAGAGGAAGGACAGTTCAAAACAAGACTATTCAAATATTTATCTACATACCTCCCACTGTTTTCTCTAAAATATCAAGGGAACACCTTTCATCAGAATGATCACTACAAATCATTGCAGGACCACAGTCATCCTCTTTAGAATTCTCTTCACCTTTAATTATTGTAAAAAATAGAACTAAATGCCTGGGCTGGTTAGCATATACATGTATCATTAATCAATTAATTTATTTTTAAACAAATCAGGAAGATCAGTCTGACATAATTTAAAAAAAAAAAATTATCTACATACCCCCCAATGTTTTCTCGCAAACGCCCTGGGACCTTTCATCAGCACGATCACTGTCTACCATTGCAGGACCACATTCTTCCTTTGTATCATCCTTTTGATCTTTAATTATTGTAAAAAAAACTATAAAACACATACATGTATATACCAATGTTAGAAATTATCAGCAATACAATTAATTATACATGTTAATTTGCCTAAAAAATTTCATAACCTACCAATACAGACAGCTTTAACAAAATACCTTGCATATTATTCCTGAAACTTACTGGTAAAACATAACAAAGTAACAAAAAAATGAAAAAGTCTTAATAAAGTCCAAAAATTAGAACAAAAAAAAGGAAGTCATTATAACCTTAAATTATTATTACAAAGAAAAATAAAAGTGTTTTGCATAAGAAAGAAAATAATTATCTAAAATGTTGTTTTACTCACCTGAACTTTTGCCCCTCTAGACAAGAAGTTTATTTTAGAAATATATATTTTTGAAAAATGTTAACTAATAAAAAAGGCAATTGTATTTGCTAAACTTAAAAACTTACTGAATTTAAATTGGATTTCCATGGGTATGAGTTTAGGCCATAATCATACAAAAGTTCTTCTCCCTGCTTCATGTCTCTATAAAATATTTGAAGTGATATATTTAATTTTTTACACTTGATATGCCAATCTCTATACATATAAAATATACTACATATGTATATAGGTATATTCAACAAATTAGAGAAATATTAAATACCTTGTAGCAAAAAGGCAAAGGCAATCCCTATAAAGTTTCATTTTGCAATTTATTTCTGTTTTCGTTCCATGGTTGACGAGTCTACATAGTCTTCCATCTTCTTTTGTTGCATCAATGCTAAAACCATCAATCTTGCATTTGAAATTGAAGTGTACCATAAATTTAATTTATTTCAATTTGAAAAAAAAGAAATCCAAATCTAAGATTTTATTATTGCCATTGTCAAAAATATTGTATGCATGGGTATAAAACTTGCTACTTAGATCTAAAATAAATTAATACCAATTCTCCTACATTGTACAGATCTATATGGCTCAATGGCATGGAAACAGGGGCCATATATTCAAAAACTGGCAATTTCGTGCAAATGTATAACAGGTACACACTGCACAAAATTGCAACTGATTGTGGTATTTGTGATGAAAAACATACATTATAATGCAAAATTGTGTCAATAAAAAAATTTCATGGGCAAATAAATTTTTTTAAAGTTACCATAGCAGCTAAACAGTACAAAATGTAACACAACAAATATTGGATAAAACAACAGCATCTCAAAAAAAATTAAGTACATGATTGATACATCTTTAAGTTACCATAAATCTCTGTAAAAATATCTGTATCCTGATGATTTTTTTTTCTCTCTTCTCTCACCCTCCTTTTTGGATAAAAGCTGACCTGCATACACAAGCAAAAAGTCTCCCCTTTGTCTGGACACAGTGGTCCTAATTCCTCTTCCTATTTGAATGCATATAATTTTTTTTTTTACTAAAGTTCAACACACAAACATAAAAAAATAACTTTTATGATAAGAATACATGCATTCATGCATTACAAGAAAATACAGAAAATGGTTTTAGCAGATTGACAGCTGGAAACTCCAAGGGCACAGTCATCTTAAATTCTTGCTTAATTTAGTTATAGAGTCAACTTGTTAATTATCACTTATGCAACAAGAGGCCCATTGGCCACATTGCTCACCTGTGAAACTCTGACCATTCTGTTCATTACCAGATTTCCCCCTTGTTATACATAATGTATCCCCACCCTACCCCACTGAACATAATTTAGACATTTCGAAATCTACACTACCCAATGATCCTTCCATGGGCACATATGTTTCAGCTATTTTTGGCCCAGTGGTTCCTGAGAAAAAGATTTTCAAAGATTTTTCCCATATATTTCTATGTAAAACTTTGATTCCCTATAATGGCCCCGCCCTTCCCCCGGGGGTCATGGTTGCTACAATTTAGAATTTACACTACCCCAGAATGCTTCCACATAAGCTTCACTTTTTCTGGCCCAGTGGTTCTTGAATACAAGATTTTCAAAGATTTTTTCCATATATTTTTATATAAAACTTTGATTCCCCATTGTGGCCCCGCCCTTCCCCCAGAGGTCATTATTTGAACAAATTTGAATCTACATTATACCAGGATGCTTCCACATAAGTTTCAGCTTTTCTGGCCCAGTGGTTCTTGAGAAGAATATTTTCAAAGATTTTTCCCATATATTTCTATATAAAACTTTGATTCCCCATTGTGGCCCCGCCCTTCCCCCACGGGTCCATGATTTGAACAATTTAGATCTACAATATACCTGGACGCTTCTACATAAGTTTAAGCTTTTCTGGCCCAGTGGTTCTTGAGAAGAAGATTTTCAAAGATTTTTCCTATATATTTTTATATAAAACTCTTAATTCCCCATTGTGGCCCGGCCCTTCCCCCGGGGGTCATTATTTGAACAATTCAGAATCTACACTATACCAGGATGCTTCCACATAAGTTTTAGCTTTTCTGGCCCAGTGGTTCTTGAGAAGAAGATTTTCAAAGATTTTTCCTATTTATTTCTATATAAAACTTTGATTCCCCATTGTGG